ATAAGAAGAGACAACTAAAAGGAAAATTATGTTAGAACTCAGGAACACAGAAGTGCATGTAACATGTAACAACAGCTCATTACTATACATGACATGAATTAGTTTTACCAGTCAGAAGCATATTTAATGTTGGTGTAATGACCTGTAGTTTAATGATGACACTGCTGAGACTGATGATCACTAATCAGTTTCTGTGCTACTTTAAAGATTCTCTTATCTAAATGACAGAAAGAGAAGAACATCTGACGTTTCATTTCATAAATGCTGCAGGCTGATGAGCTGCTGATCTCTTCTCCCAAAATGTTTTTCATCAACTCATTTAGTTGATCTTTTTGTTTTTCCTGGAGGTCTTCTATGTCCTCCTCATTAGTTTGATTCTTCATTTGTTTTTCATGTTTTTGCATCAATTTCTTGATCCTATTCAAGTTTTCAGTCTTTTTGGTCACACGTCTCACTAAGTCGTACATTTCCTTCTTATGTTCTTCCCTCTGTTTTGCTAATTCATCCATGTGTTTCTTCTGGGCTTGGTTGAACTCTTCAGCTTTCTTTCTGGCTTCCTCTTCATGTTTTTCTTTAGATCATCCAGAGTTTTCTTATGAATTTCCTCCAATCCTTTTATTCTCTTCTTCTTTGATCCTCTTCTTTTTGATTTTTTCACATTCCAGCTTTTCGTTATAATCGTCCTGTAGTTTTTCCATTTTTTCTTTCTCTTCCTCTCGTCTTTTGTCTTCGTCTTGTCGTTGTTTGTCCACCATTCCTTCTGTTCTTTCTCCACTCCTCTTGTTTTCTTCTCATCTCTTCTCTGGCTTCTTCCATTTTCTGTCCACATTTTCTTTTGCCTCTTTTCTGACTGAATTTGTTTGTCCAGCTTTCAGTCTTTTTCAATTCTTTCTGCTCTTCTTTCAGCTTCCTTTTCCCTTTTCTATTTTCCTGATTTCCTGTCTCTTCTTCTCTTCTTCTTCTCTAATTTATTTCTCATTTTTCGATTCTTTTCTCTCTGTATTCTCCTTTCTCTCTTCTCTTCTTTCTTCATGCCCATATCTTCTTATATTTTCTTTCCACTCTTCCTTTTCTTTCTGCATCTTTTCTTCCTTCTCCTTTAAATCTTCTGCATCTCCTTCCTTATCGCAGTTTCAGACTCTTCAGATCTTGTTGTAAAGCAGCGCTTCCATTGACTTCATCATGCTTTCAATCCATTGCTATCAGCTCAATGACTTGTGTATGGTTTTGTTTGTCACGGTTATTGAACACATGGTATCTATCTCCACAGTCAGAGATCAGCTTCTTAAAGGAATCATCACAGTTGTTCTTGATGTAGTCCTCTATGGACTCTCTGTCATGCTCCAGTGTATCTCCTCCTGTTAAAAGAATGATGGTGAACTTTTGAGAATTCTTCCCAAAGAATTGCTTGATGAGTTTCAGTGTCTCCTTCTCCTCTGCTGTGAATCTGCCGATATGAATCACCACTAAGAATACATGTGGTCCTGGAGCCAGGAGACTGACACATTTCACCAGCTCCTCTTGAAGTCCTTCTGGTGACAAACTTGTGTCAAACAGACCAGGAGTGTCGACCACAAAAACAGGACGACCGTCACCTCACCCTCTACTTTCTTACAACATTTGGTGACCGACATTTGACTTGATTTAGCTTAAACTCGTCTCTTCCTAAAATGGTGTTTCCTGTAGAGCTCTTTCCACAGCCGGTCTTCCCAATCAGCACAATCCTGAGACAGTCTGAGTCCTGTTCTCCAACTTCATCGCCTAAAACATGAAAACAATCAGAGTTAACACTTGTATACTGGATTAAAACTCTGGGTCATTGGAAAATATCACAATCTAAATTACTTACCAGTGACAAGTTTAAGACTTTCTCCATTTGTGCGTGTAAAATGTTGCAGTTGTATAACAGCACAGTTGTCCTGTAGGCTGACTAATTTGTCCACAATCTCAAACATCTCTGGGATCTGCTGTTTGTTCTTGGTGTTGAGAACAAAGATTTCCTCCACGCTCTCACAGAGCTCCTGGATGTCTTCATTCCTTTAGAAATTACCAACAGCTGGATCTGTAGGATCTGAGTCCACAGTGAACAGAATCATGGTGAAGTCATTGACTCGAGAGCCGAATGCATCGGATGGTCTCTAACTCTGCCTGTCTCATCAGTGAGGGAGCCACAGGTAGGACCAGATAAGGCATGGACACCCTCAGGATCACAGAGGGAGATACACTTGAATGATCCTCCATCACTGCCTCCTGAGGTTTCCATACAAGGCAGCAGCTCCACCAGGGAAACCCAACGTCCACAACCTCTCCCTGATGTTTAACACACTCTGATGAGTTGGAGGCTGAATGAAGCTCAGTCTGACCTAAAATGGCTTGGCTGCTGACGTCTTCCCTGCTCCTCTCCTCCCAAACAGAACCAGGTTCAGACTGGACTTCAGATTGGTTAGCCTTTCTTTTAACGTTAATATTTTCCCCAGTTTTTATCACCATTTATTCATTTCTTCCATCAACTCTGAGAATCTGAGAAGGAGTCTTTCCTGTCAAGTTAATGAACTGCTGCTTTTGTTTGGATTCTTCAATGATTTATCCACTGAGTTATTCCCTTCCTCGTTATGCGTTCGGATGACGATGGAGTGATTAAAAGCATCTTGACCAAACAAGCTCAGGACCAAATCAGAGTTTCTGTTCTTCCAGTGAAATCAGAAGGTTGACTAACAGCAGCAGAACGTTTGTCCAGAGGACAGAGACTCACACAGCTCTTCATCTCTTTAAACAGCTCATCCACAGGCAGACTGAAGATGTTGGGAGTCTTTACTACTGTCAACGGTTTCCCGTTCCACTCTCCAGAGGCAGCGCGACATGCTTTCCTCCAAGACTTTAGACACATGGATCTTTTCTTCCCAACGATGATGTTTTCCAGGGCTGATTCTTGTCATCACTTTTTCCAAACAGCATATCCTGATTTATGTGCTGCAATACAAAAGGTTTTACAGTATAACTTTTAAAAATTTAAAAGCAGATATTTCACTTCTCTCGGGTACTCCGGTTCTCCCAGAGTCCAAAAACATGCAGTTAGTGGGGATAGTTATGGAACTCTAAAATTGCCGATAGTGTGAATGAGCGAGTGCAACTGGTTGTCTGTGTATATGTTTAGCCCTGCGACACACTGGCGACCTGTCAAGGTGTACCCTGCCTCTCGCCCTAAGACAGCTGGGATAGGCTCCAGCTCCCCCTGCAAACCTGAAAAGGATAAGCGAAGCGAATGGATGATCCTAAGAAGAAGACTCCAAACAAGCTATGTCAGATATATGTATAGGGCTACCCACGGCCTTTCCTGAGCAGCCCCTGTGAAGCAGCTCATCAATCAGCACCTGGTGGATGGACCTTTACTCATGGCCCTTGCTGTGCTCAGCCAGAATGCACCATATGTGACTGAACCTCGTGGGCCCACCCCCTGCAGTTTTATTTGCACTATTTTTTTTTTTTTTTTGAACATCAGTTGTAAGCATAAGGATGACTATGAGTCATGGGTTAGGGTTGCAAGTCTGGGATCAGTTTTTGGAATCATAGGGTTTCGAGTTTTCAGCTGCAATAACTGCACTAAAATAAAAACATCTTCACTGATCTCACATTTATTCTAATGATTATAGTTTTCATAATAAATTGGATTTTCACTGATACGTCCTTTTGTTTGTTTGTCCTTGTTTTTGGCTGTTCGTATTAGGGGTCACCACAACAACATCTATTACTCTATCACTCCTCTTCTGTTACACAATCCTCTGAATGCAATAATCTTTCCGTGCTCTTCCTTTTCACCTCTGCTGCCAGCTCCATCTTCATCATCTTTTGTGCAGCATATCCACTACCCCCTTCTTTACATGTCTAAACCATCTTATCCTAACTTCTCAATCTGAGCTAAGGGATATTTAAGTGCTACATCTGTTTTATTGAAGGATTGTAGTTTTGTAATTCTCTGATGAAAACACTAAACATAAAACTGATCATCACATTATATGCAAAAAAAAAAAATGTTGTTCCTGCACTTACCGCCCCTAACAGATCCAGGTGGGAGAGACTTTTCTTTGGGTAATTACTGGACAAAACAGATGTTTGTTATTGAAAACATTACAGCTCACATGTTCTCCCATGCTCTTCTTCACCACTGTATCTATGGCTGCTAACAGCTGCTCTTGTCAGGTCTTCTGCCACAACAATTTTCTCTACATTTCTTGATTATCTCTCCTAACTGTGGATGCTGCTGATACTTTCAGGGAACTTGAACTCTTGTCTTTGGGCATTATCAGAGCCAGTGAACGATCAAATGATGGATCACCGAAGAGTTCAAGGACCATTTGTAGCTCTGTTGTGATCCTCAGTGAAGTCTGCAGGCTGGAGGACCAGCAGAAACACATGAGGTCCAGGAGCAGAGAGTCTCACACAGTCTCAACTTGTTCCTCAGATCTTCTGGGGAGATTTTAGCCGACAGCAGATCTGGAGTGTTGATGAGATCGATTCTTTCCCTTCAGCTCCCTTTTGACTCTCAGACAGAGGTCTGCTTTATCCTCAGAGCTGACACAGTCACTCCCAGTATGAAGTTGCCCACTGAGCTCTCTTAGACCAGCTGTTCCCCAGCAGAACGACCCTCTGCTCAGACACTGGAAAAAAAGTATAATTAGTTCAATTATTGAAAAACTAAGTTCATTTTCAATAGAAAATTATCAGTTATTAATCGTTTTTTGTAGTAGGTTTAGTCAAAAAAAAAGTAAACAAAAAATAAAATGTACACTTTCGTTTAATCCCTTATTTCCATTTCATCTAATAAAGATTGTGACCTGTAACTAACAGGCTGATGAATGAGCAGGAAATCCAGATTAGTAGAAGCTTCATCCATTTTTTTAAAATCCTAAACTCTTGACACAAATTTGATGCATTAAATTAATTTTTTTTAAATTTTATTCATCATATTGAAATGCTGTTAGTTTAACTTACACTCCTCAAGTCAGAGCTGCTGTGTTCTGGTTGATTGAAATCCTCATCTGCAAAAATATAGAAACAAATTCAGCATCCAATTTATGAGAACTCTCAACCAATTAGAAAGAGAAAGGGGAAAAAGCATCCTCTTTATTAGTCCACTCTTTATTTAGTGCTGTGTAGACAACATGACAGTGGCATAACCATCTGGGTTTTCCCAACTGATGATGTGTGAAGTCCAGGCTCTGATCAGAACTCGTAACTCAGCCTTCAGGCTGAGGGACAGTTCTCTGTACAGCACTGCCAGAGCCAACGTGGGGAGGGGCATCAAACAGGCCAAGGAGGCCTACAGGAGGAGATAGAGGCCTCCTCACTGACAAAAACCTCCAACAGCAGCCTCAAACTGGCAGAGGAGCTAATAATAAATAAATAAAGAATTGAATTGAATTGAATTGAGGCCACTCCTCCCCCACACCCCCGTACCCCACCTGCCTTCCAGCAATATGAGGCCAGGAGGAGACTGAGTGCGTTTAACCCCCAGGAGAGCTGCCGGTCCTGACGGCATCCCAAGGGCTGTGGTTAAAGCCTGCCTGGACTAACTGGAAGGGATCCAGGCTCCTTGACTCATGCCATGGTTCAGAATCAGAATCAGAATCAGAATCAGAATCGTGTTTATTGGCCAAGTATATGTGCAGACACATACAGGGAATTTGGTTCCAGTAGATGGTGGCTCTCAAGCACAGCAATGTAAATCTTACACACACACACACACACACAAGTGTCTATATATACACATTACACATACATACACAAAGCTGTGTAACCAACTATAAATAACGAATCTAAACTTATATACATAAAATACAGAAATGAATGAGGTGGAATGAATACTACAAAATGTACATAAGGTGCAGCTGCAGTCTGGCAGTGGGAGCAGTGTGGCAGGTCAACTGTTAAGAAGGGAGATGGCGAGGGGAAAGAAACTGTTCCTGTGTCGGGTGGTCCTGGTCTGCAGGCTTCTGTACCGTCTGCCAGAGGGCAGCAGATCAAAAAGTCTGTGTGCAGGGTGTGAGGGGTCTGTGATGATTTTCCCTGCCCGTTTCCTGGTTCTTGAGAGGTACAGATCCTGGATGGAGGGCAGGTGGTGCCGATGATCCTTTCTGCTGCCCGTACAGTCCACTACAGTCTGCTCCTGTCCTGTTTAGTGGCTGCTCCATACCAGACTGTGATGGAGGAGCACAGGACAGACTCAATGACCAGTGTAGAACTGGATCAGCAGCTCCTGTGGAAGACTGTACTTCCCCAGTTGTCTCAGGAAGTGCATCCTCTGCTGGGTCTTTTTGAGGATGGAGTTGATGTTGGTCTCCCACTTCAGGTCCTGGGAGATGGTTGTACCCAGGAACTTGAAGGTCTTCACAGTTGACACAGGGCTGTCTGATATGGTGAGGGGAGCAGAGTTGAGGGATGTCTCCTGAAGTCGACTGTCATCTCTACAGTCTTAAGCATGTTCAGCTCCAGATTGTGCTGACTGCACCAGAGTACCAGCCGCTCAACTTCCTGCCGGTATGCAGACTCATCACCATCTTGAATGAGGCCAATGACAGTGGTGTCATCTGCAAACTTTAGGAGTTTGACAGCCGAGTTCTTGGAGGTGCAGTCGTTAGTGTAGAGGGAGAACAGTAGTGGTGAGAGGACACATCCTTGAGGGCACCAATACTGAGGGACTGGGTTTCAGAGGTGATCTCCCCCAGCCTCACTTGTTGCTTTCTATCTGTCAGGAAGCTGGTGATCCACTGACAGGTAGCTGGTGACACGCTGAGCTGGGAGAGTTTGGAGGAAAGAAGTTCAGGCACAATGGTGTTAAAAGCCGAACTAAAGTCCACAAACAGGACCCTGGCATAAGTTCCCGGGCGGTCAAGGTGTTGCAGGATGTAATGCAGCCCCATGTTCACTGCATCATCCACCGACCTGTTTGCCCGGTAGGCAAACTGCAGAGGGTCCAGCAGGTGGCCTGTAATGTCTTTCAGATGGGCTAACACCAGTCGTTCGAAGGATTTCATGACCACAGACGTCAAGGCGACAGGTCTGTAGTCATTCAGTCCTGTGATGGTGGGTTTCTTGGGAACAGGGATGATGGTGGAGCGTTTGAAGCAGGAGGGAACTTCACACAGCTCCAGGGATCTGTTGAAGATGCGAGTAAAGATGGGAGCCAGCTGTTCAGCACAGGTTTTGAGGCAGGAGGGTGAGACGCCATCTGGTCCGGGGGCTTTCCTGGGCTTCTGTTTCTGGAATAGTCGGCTCACATCCTGAGTGTGTATTCTTAGTTTCAGGGAGGAGCTATTTTAACCCGTACAATAACCCACCCAGCCAATGTCATTGGCATACTTGACAATGACACCACCGGGGTTGGACAGCGTAAAGGGAAGAGGTAGAGATCTTGTCCTGCTGATTTTCAGAAAACAACCTGAAGCTGCCTGCACGTGTTCTCAGCAGAGCTAAAGATTCCCACATAATTCAATTCAGTTTTATTTAAACAGCGCCAAATCACAACAAGAGTCACCTCTGGCCGCTTTATATTTTAAAGTAGAGCCTACAATAATACAGACAGAGAAAAAGCCAACGATCTTATGACCCCCTATGAGCAAGCACTTTGGCCAAAGTGGGAAAGAAAAACTTCCTTTCAACAAGAAGAAACCTCCAACAGAATCAGCTCCTACCGCTATTCAGTGGAGATCATGCTCTCCCTAACCCTGCCTGGGTGTTCGGTACTCAGGCCATGTCCACACTAATACGTTTTTGTTTGAAAACGCATCATTTTCTCTCCATTGTGGCATCCCGTCCACACCGAGATGGTGTTTTGGCTCTAGGAAAATGCAGCGTTTTGAAAGCGCTCTCCAAAGTGGATGCATTTGAAAATGCCGTTTTTGCAGCAGTGCAGAAAACTGAGCCTTTTCGAAAACGATGACGCATTTTAGTCATGTGAGTAAGTAATGGAGTGCTGGCTTCCACAGTCACCTGACCTAAACCCAATCAAGATGGTATCAGAATCAGAAGAATCAGAATCAGAATCAGAAAGGGTTTTATTGCCAAATGTTGAGCAGGTTTACAACATTGGGAAATTGCTGCGGTGCTTCAGTGCAAACATACTGTCATAAATTACGCTTAAATAGACATGAAAATAAAAGTAAGAATAAAAATTAAAAGTGCTAAGTAGATAGATATATACATGATATATACATGAGTGCAGGTGGTGATCAGTGCCAAACATGAAATGATGCAGTGAACACAGCGTAGGGTCATGTGTTAGTGGCGGGAACAGTCATACGGTTATTGTTCATGAATCCAACAGCAGAGAGGAAGAAACTGTTCTTATGGCGAGAGGTTCTGGTGCGAATGGACCGGAGCCTCCTGCCTGAGGGGAGCAGGTCAAACAGACTGTGTCCAGGGTGAGAAGGGTCAGCTGTGACTGAGCTGCACGCCGCAATGTCCTGGAGGTGTACAGGTCCTGCAAAGATGGGAGTCTGCAGCCAATCACCTTCTCAGCAGAGCGCACAACACGCTGCAGTCTCTGTTTGTCCCTGATAGTGGCTCCAGCGTACCACACGGTGATGGAGGAGGTGAGGATGGACTCGATGATTGCAGTGTAGAACTGCATCATCGTCCGTGTTGGCAGGTTGAATTTCTTCAGCTGCCTCAGGAAGTACATCCTCTGCTGGGCTTTCTTGATGACGGAGGTGATGGTGGGCTCCCACTTCAGGTCCTGGGTGATGGTGGTACCCAGGAAGCAGAATGAGTCCACAGAGGTGATGGGGGTGTCAGTCAGGATGATGGGGGGAGTGGGGCTGTGTGCTTCCTGAAGTCCACAATAATCTCCACTGTCTTCTGGGCATTCAGCACCAGGTTGTTGTGGCTGCACCAGGACACCAGACGTTCAACCTCCCTCCTGTAGGCAGACTCGTCCCCGTCCGAGATGAGTCCAATAACGGTGGTGTCATCTGCAAACTTGATTAGCTTGACAGACTGGTGGGTGGAGGTGCAGCAGTTGGTGTACAGGGAGAAGAGCAGAGGAGAAAGAACACAGCCCTGAGGGAGCCGGTGCTGATGGTCCGGGAGTCCGAGACATTCTTTCCCAGCCTCACATGCTGCTTCCTGTCCATCAGGAAGTCAGTGATCCACCGGCAGATGGGATCAGGCACATTCATCTGGGAAAGCTTGCCTCGGAGATGGTCTGGAAGGATGGTGTTGAAGGCAGAGCTGAAGTCCACAAACAGGATCCTGGCGTAGGTTCCTGGGGAGTCCAGATGCTGCAGGATGAAGTGTAGGGCCATGTTGATGGCGTCGTCTACAGACCTGTTGGCTCTATATGCAAACTGCAGGGGGTCCAGGAGGGGGGCCGTGAGGGTCTTGAGATGGGAGAGAACTAGGCGCTCAAATGACTTCATGACCACAGATGTCAGAGCCACGGGTCTGTAGTCATTTAGTCCAGTGATCCTAGGTTTCTTGGGGACAGGGATTATGGTAGAGGACTTGAAGCAGGCAGGCACATGACATGCCTGCAGTGAGGAGTTGAAAATGCCAGAAAACACTGGGGCCAGCTCGTTTGCACAGTGTCTGAGGGTGGCAGGAGACACACCGTCTGGGCCGGGAGCTTTTCGAGCATTCAGACTCTTAAACTGCTTCCTCACATCTGCTTCATGAATATGAAGAGTTGTGGTGGGAGGAGGTGGTGTGAAATCCTCTTTTGTGTGGGGTGAGGAGGGGGGTGTTGCAGGTGAACGGTTTGAAGGTGGTGATAGCTCTATGTAGGGGGGAGAGGTGGGGGAATGAGTGTCCAAAGTGCCTCTATTGTTGGGGTCGTTGGAGGTGTGAAGGCTGCCTGATGGCTCGTCAAAACGACAGTAGAAGTCGTTAAGGGTGTTGGCCAAGAGCAAGTCATCAGTGGAGTGGGGGGTTTTAGGCTTGTAGTTTGTGATATTCCTAAAACCTTTCCACATAGAGGCCGAGTCATTCTCTGAGATCTGCTGCTGCATCTTCTCAGAGTGCTGATGTTTAGCAATGACCACTTCTTTAGTGAACCTGTACTTGGCCTCTCTGTAGCAGTCCCTGTCTCCGCTTCTGAACGCCTTACTCTTTTCCAGCCACAGCTTTTTGAGTTTAGGAGTAAACCAGGGTTTGTCATTGTTATAACTCACCCTGGTGCGTGATGCCACAATGCTGTCCTCACAGAAGTGGATATAGGAGGTGACAGTGTCCGTAAACTCGTCCAAGCTGTTAGAAGCAGCCTTCATTGTGTCCCAGTCTGTGGTCTCCAAACACGTGCGAAGCTCCTCCACAGCCTCGTTGCTCCACAGTTTTTTGGTCCTCACGACAGGTTTGGAGAGCTTCAGCCTCTGTCTGTACGCGGGGATTAGGTGGATCATGACGTGGTCAGAAAGTCCGAGTGAAGCGCGGGGCACCGCACGATAGGCCCCGCTGATCGTGCTGTAACAGTGGTCTAATGTCCTCTCCTCTCTGGTCGGGCATTTAATATACTGCTTGTATTTGGGAAGCTCATGGCTCAGATTGGCTTTGTTAAAGTCCCCAAGAGCAATGATGAGAGAGTCCGGGTATGTCCGCTCCATGTGCAGTATCTGCTCCGCGAGTGCGCACTGAGCTGCTTGCGCATCCGCATCTGGCGGGATGTAAACAGCGGCCAGGATGAATGAAGCAAACTCCCGCGGAGAATAAAACGGTTTGCAGTGAATAAAAAGATATTCCAGAGAGGAAGAGCAGTGCTGAGAAATCACTGTTACATCTGTGCACCAGCCACTATTAATGTAGAAGCAGACACCTCCACCTTTGGTCTTACCAGAGAGAGAGGCCTGCCGGTCCGCGCGCAGCAGATGAAAGCCCTCCAGCTTGAGCGCGCAGTCTGGGATGTTCTCACTGAGCCACGACTCCGTAAAACATAACACACAGGAGGAGGCAAAGTCTCTGTTCATGCTTCTCATCAGGGCCAGCTCATCTATCTTATTCCTGAGTGAGCGTACGTTGGAAAGGAAGATCCCAGGAAGAGCAGTTCGCAGTCCGCGTCTCCTCAGATCCACTTTCCTGATCAGAGTCTGCAGTAAATCTGCCGCAGATGCGACAAATATTGGAAGTAAATCCACAGGTGTTGTAGTCCTGTAGTTAAGAAGCTCTTCTCTGGTGTAAGAATATCCAGAGGAGTGCCCAGACACAGAAGTTATGCACAAAAACAAGACAGAAGTAACGCACTGAAGCACCAGGGCATCCATACACGGCACCATCTTGGAGAAGGTATGGGATAAGATGTCCCGCAGAGTGAAAACCAAAGGGCCAACAAGTGCTCAGCATCTCTGGGAACTCCTTCAAGACTGTTGGAAAACCATTTCAGGTGATGACCTCATGAAGCTCATGGAGAGAACGCCAAGAGTGTGCAAAGCAGGAATCAAAGCAAAGGGTGGTTATTTGAAGAATGTGTGTCCAAAACCTTTGACTGGTAGTGTATTTCCTCTTGATTGTATGTGTTGTATATTTTTCTCCTGTTTGTTATTTCCTCCTGCCTGGCTCAGAGTCTCCACTCTAATTCATCCCAGAGGTGTTCTGTCAGTTTGAGGTCTGGACTCTGTGAAGGCCAGTCAAGTTCTTCCACACCACACTGGCTCATACATGTCTTTAAGGACCTTACTTTATGAACTGGTGTGCAATCATGTTGGAACAGGAAGGTGACGTCCACGAACTGTTCCAACTGAATTGGGAGCATGAAGTTCTCCAAAATGTCTTGGTACGCTGAAGCATTAAGAGCTTTCACTGCTGGCGCCTGTTTAGATCTGAGATGAGGAGGGGCTAGAGGCATGAGAGCGGCCAACCCAGGTTTAAAACTGACCCATGGCCATTTGCCATGTCTTCCCTTCTCTCTCTCGACTCTGCAGAAAGTTGGCAGCCTCTGCATGTGCCTCAGCATCTGCTGACCCCACTCTGCAACTTTAAGCAGCCTAACACTTGCCATCATTTCCATTCAGTTCTGCTACGCTGAGCATGAACAGAATACTCTGTTAGGGTTGAAAATTATATTTTTATTAAATGATTAAACAAAGCTTTTTTAATTATCTTTTATACACACTACAATTGCGCTTATATGAGTTGGCATTCCGTCTTTTGAAGGTTCAGAGCTTCATTCATTGATTGTCTGAGTTGATATATTGCAGGATGACGTAGAAGTGCAAAAAGATATGCAACATGCTTACACAAATCACAATTGATAATAAGTATCAGGATATTCTCTGGACAGGGAGTCCGAAAAAGATGTCCTGAGTGGAGCCTTAGAATCAGCAGCTAGCCAAGGCTACGTAGGGTGCGTTTTTGTTTTGTCTTTCCAATTCCAGGAAAGGAGCATATAGGAGGTCGAGGAGCCGAACGGACACGGGGGAGGATTTTGCAGAAGCCATCAGGATGGGTGTTTGAAGAAGATAGCCATAATCATTTGTTGTTGTTACTGTATAAAACCTGTGCAGCCATTTCAGGGCCAACCTTGGTGCGAGGCAGTATGCTGTATCATATTCACGGTCCATAGTGCTATGTCACACTTGTAATTTCAACTGCCCAGCAAATTAAATCTTTTTAAATGACACAACATTCCCCCGGATTCCTTCTGAAAAATTTGAAACAAGTAGTTTTCAAAGACGGGGTGATAGTGGCTCAAGAGTTAGCAGTTCGTCTTGTAATCGGAAGGTTGTCAGTTCGAGCCCCGGCTCCGACAGTCTCGGTCGTTGAGTCCTTGGGCAAGACACTTCACCCGTTGCCTACTGGTGGTGGTCAGAGGGCCCGGTGGCGCCAGTGTCCGGCAGCCTCGCCTCTGTCCGTGCGCCCCAGGGTGGCTGTGGCTACAATGTAGCTGCCATCACCAGTGTGTGAATGTGTGTGTGACTGGGTGGATGACTGGATGTGTAAAGCGCTTTGGGGTCCTTAGGAACCAAGTAAAGTGCAATACAAACACAGGCCATTTACCAAAGTTTATCTTGAAAAAGCATTGGAGTTTGGTTAAGTTTGCGCTGTAAAGATTTAAAGTTAGCAATTTCTACAGGAGTTATGCTACTCTAACGATACTTAAAACAATAGGAAACAATAAGTTACACAAATTTTTGTTGACATTTTTAATTTTAAAGTCTTTTTAAAATCTGTCAGCAAGTGACACGTTTAACTCAAATGAAAGGATTTATATGTTTATATATAAATCATTTAGATTATATAAATTTAAATGTGTTTTAAATTTCAAGCGTTTAATTGCTTGATTTTATATTTATCCAGTAATGTATCGAGACATCAAGGTGCTGCATCTTAAATCTGTAATAGTAAATAAGAATAATCGACACAATTGACTGAATGTACTAAGCAAAAACTTAAAGATCTGTCACTGGATTAAAAGGTAATAAGTACCTACTCATATATGACATTTTAAGTTTTTGACCATGTTTCATAAGGACCGAGTTCATTAGTTTCTGGATGATGACAAATTCTGAGTATTTTGCCTCTATGTACCACCATAGTGGATTGTAAAATCAAATAATTTAGATGTGATTAAAGTGCATTACATCTTATGTCCCACAGAAAATACCTTCTGCTGCAGTCCTGAGATAACTAGAGTTAAAAAATGTACACGTGAGAATCTACTTTATTCCTCTCACCACATTTGGATATATAGCAGCTGAGTGAAACCGTACTCCATGTAAAAGTGGTTTTCAGTTGTTTTTCTTTGTAATGCAGCCCAAAATGGACCTCTTAGCCTGATTTTTAATTTTTGTCCTTGTTTTCCACAGAGTTTTTGGTTTTATTAAACTAACATAAGTCTATTAGCAGTGATGTCACGTTCTGTAAAGGACAAGATGGCACTAAGTGCAGGTAGAGGAGATAAAGGACATGCATTTAATAGGCACAGATACAGCATTCAACATTTTGTTTATTGTTTTCATTTTTCTGTTGTGTGTCTTCCAAGGATTTTTTGACTGTTCTTGCAGTGACAATTTTTACTAAATGTGATGTTTCACTTTAACCAAATAAAAACTTGTAATGAGAAAAATTTTCATTCAGGGCTGATTTATGGCATGAACATTTGCTCCTTTGTTAAGAAAGTAATTATTGAATACAAAATGAAAAAACAAAACAAAAACAATTGTTCTTCCTTTAACAATACAATTTTATTTATATAGCACATTTAAGAAACCACAGGTATGCCAAAGTGCTTCACAGAATGAGTTAGGAGCAATAATAAATACAAATATGAAGCACAAAATACTAATAAAATATACTAACAGGCGGGTGACATAACTAACCAATAATACACCAGGCATAGTAGGCACAACCCGAAAGGCTGAAGGTTAAAACATTATAAACATTAACAAAGTGATAAAGATAAGTTCCAGTACACTAAAAATGTGGGCTCTAGGAGGCGGGGAAAGCAAGGCTAAAAAAATAAGTTTTTAATCAAGATTTAAAAGACTGAATTGAATCAGACGCCCGAATAGCTAGAGGGAGGTTATTCCAGAAGCAGGGTGCGACAGCGTTGAATGCTCGGTCACCTCTGGTCTTGAGCTGAGATCTAGGTCGCATCAGGAGCATTTGGCCTGCTGATCTAAGCGCTCTCCCAGGGATATAAAAGCTGAGGAGATCCGTAACATAGCTGGGTGCGGTGTTATTTATGATTTTAAAAGTGAGCAATAAGAATTATTGAGACAGAGAATTATTTTATTTTCATATTTTTATTTCCAACACTGGAACCATTGCATTGTCTTGAAATGATCAAAAACCAAAAAGTTTCAACCAGTTTTCACATTTCTGTCAGTTCACAGTGTATAACACGGAATCTGATCTCACCAGGCTACAGTGTGTTTAAACAGTGTGTTATCTAGACCAGTGAAGTCTGGCTGGACTCACCCGGTGCTGCTGCTGCTGCCATAATGTCACTCTGCTGAAAATCCCACAGACTGATTGAACTGGAGGAAAGAAAGAAAAAGATTTTAGTCTTTCTTGTTCTAAACCTGCTTTTAGAAACACATATTTCCAAAGACAGAGGGCATGCATTATAGTTTTGGACAAACAGCGAATACTCAATACTTTCTCTGTACTTTGTCCTCGGATCTCTGCAGATTAAGATGGTTTGCTCAGATGGCAATACAGAAATTATTTAGATAGCATTAGTGTGATCATTTTGATTTTTGTTCAGAAATTACACATTTCTTTGAGTTGTTCACAAATCTTTTGTTCAAAATAACATTTATTATTACCATATAACATTTGTGATGGACACTGTTGGAAAACTCATCTCTGACATCAGAATATCATAAACTGTGAGCGGCAGGAAGGATGGGACACAAATCCAGACTCGACAAGCAAGTAAAAAGTAAACTCAAAAAACAGCGAACACAAGGAAAACCAACATTAACTAAACTGAGAATACAACAAAAAAACAACTAGACATGCATGCAGGCTGGCAGACAGTAAGGTATGAGAGAGATGCTGGCATAAATGCACAAAAGGATAACGAGGGAAGTGAGAACACACGGGGAACACAGCTGACACGAATTAGCATGACGCCACTGGGGAAGCACACCGAACATGCAAACACAAGACTTTCACAATAAAACAGGAAACTGAGAAACATGTCAAGTGCACAAGAAGCAGATGAGAGGGAGCGAGGGTGAGAGAGAGACATGACAGACTGGGGAAACATGAATTAACAAGACAAGCAGGGGGAAACATCGAATGACACAGAACTCCTTTTTGTACAAACATAATTTAAAAAGTCATAAAAACTTTATGGCACCCTTAAACTTTTTTCTTTTTTTGCTTTTATTTGTGAAAAGCCAGTTAGTACAGTTATTCAACACTTTGGTTGAATCAGTGGAAATAAACTAAACAGACCTAAAACTTTGGAAGAAGAGCTGACAAACGACACAACTGGAATCCCTCAAATTTAATGAGATAGGAAGAAGAGAGAAAGTACAACAACAATACAGTAAGAGTAAAGTTACACTGACATCCGTTTGTAAAACATTCTGGATGAATAAAGTACAGGTCAACATTTAAAAGACAAAATCTGTGTTTTGTGAATACAGAATTTTGGCAGAGATCTTTAGAGATCTAAAGCTTACCAGAAGTATGTTTTTACCTGACTTCTCAAAGAGAGATGAACGGTGTCTTTTTGACTGATTGAAAAAAATTCTCTTGGTGTTCAGTTTGGTTAAAAGCACAAAGGACATCACTTCCATCTCACTAAACTCCTCACATAAAGAGAACATTCAAACCCAGACCTTGATGTGTGGCATCACAGGTTATCAGTACCAACAGAAAGTCTTTACTAAATGTTTCAACTTCCAGTTTACATGTAAATTTAAGAATCTCTTTGTTGCTGAAGTGGATTATTTTACCCTACTTAGATGGTGCCACTCATTTAAGTCAGTTATTCCATAAAAGTACACAAAACTGATCAAAAACAGCTTAAGCTTTAATACACAGTAGCCTTCAGGGGTGTAAAGCTAAGCCTGTAAGTAGCAGAGTGCACCGATCATGCAGGCGGGTGTCAGAGTGCAGTGAGGAGAGTTGTAAGAACAGCCGTGCCCACACCTTTCAGTCACAAAACTGATACTTTACTTTTTAGTAAATCGTGACATTAGCTTCTAAACGCCAAACAAAAGTTTTGCACTGGTTTAAAAAACGTAGCATATCTGCTCCTAAAAATTGGTTTGACAATTTTAACAGTTTGTCTTTGGCTCTCTTGCATGTATTAAAGTTAATGAAGACTAAACTTCAATCAGATAATGTTAAATGTAAATTAGACAAAAAAGTGTCAGAGTGTCATCCCAGTGCGAGGTTGGTGTAGGTCAGATATGAACAGCATACTGACTGATCTGTACAAGTTTAAGCAGGTTATAGTTCGGTGATTCCTTTGCAGCAGCAGGTGTTTGTGTGTGTTACCTGTTTGCTTTGCTTTGAGTTCGCAGCTGAACACCTCTGCACGCTCGGACAGACAGCACTGCTTCTTCCTTTGTCTGTTTGTGTCTCTCATGTTGGTGGGTGAGAGAGTGGGACACTTTGTAGGTGGGCTGTAAGCTGCCTGCCCAATCAGAACTTACACTCCCTAAATGAACAAAAAATAACAACTTTTCATTGAGTGGGTTTGATGTTCAGTGTGGGTGGTGTTAGCCTGCCCCTGCACATGACTACAGCAAGAAAAGTCATAAACAGGAAGTTTGCTGAAAGATCTTTGAAGAAGAAGCTTTAAATGATAATGATTTTCTTTATTGTGGGAAAGCAGAAAAATTGGTCTGTAAGTGGATCACAGATGATTATCTCCCCTTTTATATATACTGCATCTAATTATCCTCTTCAGAGCTTTGTTAATTCAGTTCAATTCAATTTTATTTATACAGCGCGAAATCACAACAACAGTCACCTCAAAGTGCTTTATATTGTAAGGTAGACCCTATACTTATTTGTATAGTTTGTATTGTTTTTATTACAAAGTATTGTTCATTTTAAAGCCTCGTGTGCTTTGCTAGAATCATCATTCATTTAAACTGTAAGGAGCCAGATAGCCTGAAGGAGGTGGGCAGGGAGAGGGAGGTCTGGGCTCCTTGTCCCGGCCCCGGGTAAGAATAAGGACCCAAACAATGCAGCAAAAACTAACTAAAGGTCACAGGCAGAGAGTAACAAACTCCAATCAGAATCAGGGAAGTCATTACGGCTGGAAAACAAGACACAGCTGAATCAAACTATCACAGAACACTAAGGCACGGGAAACAAATAAATTAAAACAGCAAGTTAAAAAAAACAGAACGCTTACACAGAGGAACACTGCCAGGTGTTAGGACAACAAACCGAATTACCAGGGATTAGATAGAAACAACAGGGTGTTAGGGGGAATTGTTACATGTTGTCATTTTTGCGCTTACAACTGTGGATCTTGTTTCAAACTGTATGATCAAAGACCTTCTTTTGTTCCTATCCGCCTCCCCGGCCTGTTGAATAGTGGGGGAGGTTAGAGTGTTTAATTGCAGGCACATCTTATGTGAAGGTTTCTTTTTCCTTGTTTAGTAAACGTCCTGCCTTTATGGCCTCACCTGTGTTTGTGTACGGTGGACCGTTAGAGGGGTTAAACTGTATACAGGGGTGGGGTGAGATGACACTTTTTTTATGCAACTAAGAAATAATTTGTCAAGATATTAAGGAAAAGAACCAGACCACAAACACAAGGACTTGGGAAAAAGTTCACAAAGTAGAGCAGCTTTTATTTTGCTCTCTGTGTTTTCTGAAGCTTATGCACGAGTTCAGTAGTGAATGTCTGTAATCGGTCATCTGCCTGCTTTCCTGAGTGTTTGGCTACTTTTCTGTTCTTTACACTGCTATCACTTTTCCATGCTGTCATCATTACTCTAGTCCAGGGGTGCCCAATCCCGGTCCTCGAGAGCTACCGTCCTGCAGCTTTTAGATGCATCCTTGTTCCCACACACCCGAATCAAATGAATGGCTTGTTATCAGGCCTTTGCCAAACATGATGGCATGCTGAAGAGGTAATCAAACCATTTGATTCAGCTGTGTTGGAGTAGGGATGCATCTAAAAGCTGCAGGATAGTAGCTCTCGAGGACTGGGATTGGGCAGCCCTGCTCTAGTCCAATCATTTTCTTGCCTGCCTTTTTTGGGCCAATCAGCCTCCATGTTGCGTGGTTTAAATCTGTGCTCTCCGTCATCCTCATTTTCAAACTCTTTTTTTTTCTTCTGCCTGTCCCGTTTGGCTCTTTTGCATCAGAATTGTTGTCTAAAGGCAAAGAAAGATGCCCAACGGATTTACTTTACCAAACTGACCATCCCAGCCTTGCAGTAATGGTCCATTTGATTCACCTTTTATTGTTTATTTTATTTTCACTTGCTGAATACGGGAAAGACTTGACTGGAGGAAAGAAAGAGAAAGAGCTGAGAAGAGGGACGGGGGAGAAGGGAAAAAAAACAAAAACAAACAGAATGGGCAGAAAAAGAAAAAGCATCTATCGATCACCTGGATCACCTGCTGAGAAAGAAAAGAAAACAAGCAGAAGAAAACAAGAGTAATAGAATAAACAACATCACAATGATATATGGGAATATGACAGTAAATACTAAATATTAAACATTATTGTGCAGCACATAAGATCAACAGAACACAGTGTGCTTTGAGGTAGGAGCCAAAAAGGGTGTAGTTTGTGGGTGTGATCACCCGTGTGTACACCTGTGAGCATGGACGCGCTTGTTTTTTTAAAAGGTTCCTTCATGTAATGATCTGCTAGAGGGTGTGGGGGGCCACAGCCCCGTCCTCCAGGGCATGAAGCAGGTATGGAGGAGATCAAAACTCCAGACATCCAGAGGCCCCAGAACACAAGAGACCAAGGAAGACCCACAGAGGGGCAGCCGCGCCACTGTCCCAGAAAGAGCTGAGGAGAGTCCCAGATGAGGGCTCACTCAGCAGCCGCGGAGCAGAAGCCAGGGGGGGTTGCAGTGACGCGCCCGTGAGCTCCGCCGGCAGCCAGCCGTGCCTGAGTGACACCCCACCTCCGAAGTGGCCCGAGCGAGCCCCAGGCTCCAGGCCCCGATAAGCGGCCGCCAAGGAGTGAGCCGGTGTGTACCTGGACGCCCACCCCCAGACACAAAGAACCACCAATGCACCGATGTCTGAGGGAGTCCGCCACTGGCAGGGGAAGTGGTGGTGGGTGGAGATAGGCCTCCAAACATCCATTCCCACCCTCATGCTCTCATATGCACTTACTCCACACTCAACCAACGTGGAGACAGACATAAAGAGACGCTGTACACACGATCACACTCCCCAAGCGTACTCTACAAACCGGGTCTAGGTGCCCTTGCCCCTGGAGGGGGGAACCGCACCCAGACCCAGGTGGTGTTACCCTTTTCCCTGCGGTGGGGAGAGGCAGACCGCCCCGACTCCGCAGCAGCAGGGAGGCCCCACACCCCAGACCGCAGTCGGACGGCCAACTCCTCCTAGCCCCCCCGCTCCAGCAGGTCGCAGAGAACGGGGGTGGGAGAAGACTCCAAACCTCCCTCCACCCGCTCATTGTAGTGTTGATGCATGTGTGTTCTAAGGTGCAATTAAAACCCAGGAGGGCATGGAGCTACCTGCCAGAGAGCAGCAGGTAAGCGCATGGTCCCTCCTGCTAGCCCTCAATGTCTACGTGTATTTAAAATTGAGAAGTGGGCAACGATGCCAGGGGTGAGGTGTACACCCTGATGGTAATTTGGACTCCGTGTATCGTGCCCACCCCGAGATCCTATATGTATGTGTAATGAGAGTATGAGTAATGTGAATGTCTAAGTTGTACTCCATACTCCGCGACCCGCCAGGGAAAGGGGGCCCAGGCCCATCCAGACCGGGTCCCAGTGCAGCAGCGCCGCCCGGCCCCACAGAGCCCGGGACAGTCCACCCAACCCCACCACAGAGAAAACTGCACCCACCCCACCATCCACTCATCTTCCAGACTACATAAGACAATAGACGCCCAGGCTGAGATCTTCCTCCACCTCTCCTGTATCTCCCCTCCTGCAGAGCGAGTTCCTGAAGAGAGGAAAGCTCCTGCAAGGTGTGACAATCTCCCCACCAGTTGAAGAGCCCCCAGGCGGCTTGACGCACCGGCGGCACCCTGAACGCACCCACCCGCCCACAACCCCGGCAACACACCAACCAGGACCCAAGCCCCGAGGCCCAGCCAGGGCCCCAGCCCAGAGACGGAGCGCCCCCAGAACCTCACGCCCATCCCGGACCCACCCACTCATTTTTGCCACCCACCTTCTCCCCATCTCCACCTCACAGACTCCTCAGTCAGAGCTCAGCCTCAGTCTTCATCACCACCGGCTTCTAGACTCTGGGGAGTCCTGTCCTAAATCACCACCAGGATTCTGTTCTGCCACAATGGGTCATCAGAGTCTAATCACTAATCATTGTGTTCACTACTTTCAGGTGATCTTTCCATACTGAACTCTACATGTGGCCGTATCAGATGTTAATCAGTTTGGTTTAAGAACTACAGAAAAGGGCTTTCCTGTACACTGTATTAATAAAATCATTGGTCCCTTTGTGTGGATTTAACAAGTCAGTATAAAAATTTCTACAGATTATTTTCACCTTGTTGTCATTTGCTTTTCCAAACATAACAATTAATTTGTTACTGAGTGGATCAGTGAAGCTACCGGGCGTTCATGATACACAACTAAAAAGATATACTTGATATTTTTCATCAATAGTTTCTACACTTAAAAACATGTTTTCTGTGCTTTCCACCAAAAGAAAGGGCAACTCCTCCATTTCTATTGGTCCTTTTAACTTTAAACTAGTCACATCATAGTCTTTGTTATTAGTCTCAGATACAGAAAAAACATTCAACTCTGAACTGATATAACTATTCCTGTTTTGTGCAGTTTCTGCATCTTTCTACTGTTGGTGTGTATGACTGATAGACTGATAGAGCACCTGCCATTTCCACATTACTGTTGAAAAGCTCATCTGAGTAATACTCACAGTAATGTTTCATGTTGTTGTGGTTTTCTGGATCAGGGGCATTCTAAATCTGTGTATGAATCTAAATTTATTCAAGTTGTGCACATTTGTGTCATGTTTCTTTTTCATGTTTGTGTGAAGTGGAACATGGATTTGTGAGTATTCATTTACATACAGTTTTTCTTATTCCTCCACTGATCATGCAATACACATTTACAACTATTTTAAAGTCAGTTCTCTCCACTCTGTACAGTTAAAAATGTTAAAATGATCCAGCTTAACTAACACTAAAACACAGTGCTTTGAATTTTGTTTATTTAAATCTATCTAGAAAAGAAAGTGCACATCACACAGAATGAGCCAGAAACAGAAACAGAATTTTTAAAAGCTAGACTGCTTGCTTCGCCCACCGTTCCCACGTCTGACTATGTCTCATTTCCTGCCGGCAGCACACTCTGCAAACAGAACATAATACATGTGGTACATACATACAGTAATCTTTCC